GGACTAGACCACTTAGATCATCTAAAGTAATCAGTCTCTCAGCCAGTTCAGGGCTGTTTCTTAGACTACATTTTTTAGTGCTTTGTTCAGTCTGGATTTAAATGTCTCAGGTTAATGAGTCGCTACTTTCCCTTAATAGACTGTTCCTCGAGTGACTGTGTCTTGCTGACAGGATTTTTTTATTTCCTGGAAACCTGAATTTTCCCTTTAACTTCTCTTTCTCGGACTCTTACGTCCCAAACTAAATCGAACCTCTCCAGGCTTGGTGTTCATACTCTTAAAAGCTTGTAGGTTCTTAACGTCTCTCTCTCCTGTTACTTATTGATTAGCTATGCTCTACTTGTCTGGCTCTTCTAAACATTCCTCACCAGCCAGTCCTGCCAGCCTCCTGACTATTTTTATGAAAAGATGTAACAGTCAATGCTTGAAGTGTATTGACAGCTTACTAATAGTCATAGGAAATGTTTTGCTTTTTCTTCGTTGGAAACCTATATGTACACTTTCTATCATATAATAATCATCTGTCAATATCTGAATTTTTTGTTTTGTAATTTTAGTGTAATATGCAAACCACTTTGTTTCACTGGCCAAAACTCTGCTTCGTTCATGCAAAATCTGCCCTCTTACATCTCATGCAATTTGAGTGATGTCAATGTGGTTGTCTGGGTGTATAGTAAGTCAGCGCTGAATTTAACCCAGTGTGTACAGAACTACACAATTCCTGGTCTGTTAGCTGCCCTACAGCTTATGTCCGTAAACACCTGAAAAGTCAGAGGTGGTCACTAATTTGCATTAGTTATAATGAATTTCATTAAATTATTATATTATCTTGAACAGTCCCATTCTGTTTCTGTACATTGATGGAGCTCTGACTTCAGTGGAGTTGCATCACTTGACACTAGCATGGGACTTGGCCTGCTGTTTTTAAAAGGTTAGCTATAGATGTGAGCCCAAGAGTCGTTTTACCTTTTCAAATTGACAGAATTAGTAAATTCATTCTCACAGTGACATTCCCTTCATAATGGGATTTACGGAAATGTTAGAAAGGGGTTAGGTATTTTTAGAGTAACTTTAGTGTGTACTGGGGTCTTTTTAAAAATACTTTCTCCACAGATTTCATTTAGTCAAATTAAATTAAACTGACATAGCGTAATATTTCATGTTCACTTACAGGGAGTCCAATCAACTTACTTTGATTTTAATTATTTCTGCTGGGAATTGTCATTACTTCATTTTTCTCCTCTTTCTCTTTTTGTTTTCTAAAACCCAGATTTAGGTCGTTCTCGAGAACTGCAATATGTTTATGTGGATAACAATATTCACCTGAAAGGGCTCCCTTCTTATCTATATAATAAAGTCATTGGTTGCAGCGGGTAAGCATGAATTAACTTAATGTCTTACATACCTTTATCTCCTAACGCTCTTCATAAATACATGCCTGTGTGATACAACTGAATTTTATTTTGGGTTATTCATTCAGGACTGATGTTACTTTGAAGGGATTACTTTGGCTGCCTGTTCTATATTACTTTTGTAATCTTCTGCATTAATTTGCTGAACATTTTAATATTTCAGTGCTAAGCCACAACAGCCAGAGCATTTGTGGATATTTGTAGGAAACATTTACTGATAATGTAGGGCATGAAGCTGAAGACTGTGTTTTAAATTTGGCCCAAAATGTAGGCTTCATTAAAACATACTTTTCCAAAATCAAGACCAATAGGTATATTCTGTATTTTTAAAATATGTTTCAATGATCTTTAATAAGTAAACATCTCTTACAGTGTTTGCATCCCATACATTGCAGCACTTGACTCGTCAGTGGATTCTCAAACCTTTGCCTGTAATGGACCATATCTGAATAGAATTTCACATGGGCTTTCCTCTTATTCATACTCTCATAACATCCCTGTAGCAACTCTTTATAGTGCTTGGCACTCAATAAGCGATTAAATAATTTTCTACAAATTGCAATCCAACTTTTATGTATATTTAAAAATACCCTAAGCTCTATCGTATGTTTGCAAAAAGAAAAGGAGTACTTGTGGTACCTTAGAGACTAACCTATTTGAGCATAAGCTTTCGTGAGCTACAGCTCACTTCATCGGATGCATCACGAAAGCTTATGCTCAAATAAATTGGTTAATCTCTAAGGTGCCACAAGTACTCCTTTTCTTTTCGTGAATACAGACTAACACGGCTGTTACTCTGAAACCTATTGTATGTTTGTGAGTTTGATGTGAGGAGAAAGTGTGCTCTTCAGGACACTTGCCTGTTTCTTCTCTGACTTAAATCAGGAATAATAGCTCCACTGAAATTAATGTAGTTATGCTGGGGCAAAAGTGGTGAGAGGAGTACATGCCCCAATATCTTCTAATTATAAAATCACTGTGCTATTCCTCTCAACTATACCTACACTAATTATAAACTCCACATTTATAGCCCATGTCTTGTTAAAGTATGTTAACCATTACACATCTGAGAATTTTTAAGGTTTTCCTGATAGCCAAAGCTCATATTCCTGTTTGTTCCTGTGATGTATAAGTATTTTGCAGTTGTATCACAATTTGCTGTTGCCAGGTGGGGTCTCTCTGTGCTGATCAAAAATTTTATTGACCTTATCCTTCAATAAATGACGTGGTTGTATATCTACTTTAAGTGTTTGTTTTGCTTTATCAGAAACCGGAATAAATTGTAAACAAGATGTTAAATTGTTTTTCTTTACTTTTAATTCACTCTTCTTTTTTGAGAAAACACTAGTGGTAGTACCTAAAAGTGTGCTAACAGGTTTGATTGAACAGTTTTGTTTATTTTCAGTCATTTTGAACCCCATCTTTGCCTTTCACTATATCTTTAATATTCCATTTTAATCTGTTAAAATGTTTGTATCTAAAACGAACCGTATGCTAATTTTTTGAGTGGCATCACTTGTCATCTTATTTCACAACTGTCTGCATAAACCAGATTTTCATTTGACTTTGTCCCTTTTAAAAGATGTCTGCTAGTGTTCCTTCATTTACGATATCTTCATTTTCATAGCCTAATCAGATTTTATGTTAGCCTTTGGCATTTTAACCACAATTGAATACAGCAGCTCTAGATGAGACGGCTAAAATGGCAGCATCCAATAGTTCCTTGACTACACTTCCACTGTTACTGCCACTGGTGCAGCTACACCAGTAGTAGCTACAATGGAAAATTTAATAAGTCTTGTAGACAAGGCTGGACGCAGTCATAGACCAGCTAACTTCCTCATAGCACTCCAGTAAGGCATGTGGGGAAACAAACCCACATTGTGCTCTGTGGTGGTACTTGTACTTTCTTTAACACATGAATAAAAAATATAATTTTTTAAAAATTACCACCAGCAATTAAAAACCGATTCAGCTGATCAGCTTTGTCCTCCCCATTACAGAAAGAGGGCAGCCACAGACCACATTTTAGCACTATATGGGCTGCATTTGGGTACAGCTGATCTTCTTGCCTCCCCAATATCAGTCATAACAGAAGTGCTCAGTCTTTGAGCAAGCAATTTGACTTGATAAAGTGCTTCCCCCTGCCCAGATTTCATCTTTGTGAATAAATTTCTGTCCCTTCCGCCAAAACAAAGATAGCACTTATATTTGCAAATTAAGAACAGAACTATTGCTGCACTGTCAGGGTTATTTCTAAAAAGAGGCTATATTAACAGGAGCTGCACACTTTTTCAGATTCCTTATGTTAAAAGGTAAAATCATTTTGTGACAGAATCTACTCTTCTTTAGTAAGCAAAATAGGGTCTCTGTTTGGACTTGTACATACTGATAAAAGACACTTCTCCATACTCTATAGACATCCTTGATATAACTTAAAATACACTTATTTCGGAGAAAAAATGTAACACAAAAGAAATTCCACTTGCTGGTCGCACTCTCATCTCCTCTTCTATAGGGTAACTGTTAACGGCATAAGGAACAACGTGCTCAAATAGAGTTGATAATGTACTGAATGGATGTTTAAATGGTATACTAATTGTCTGCTAAAGCATTTCTGTGTCCTTTGCAATAGTAAGCATTAGTGGCTGGTGTAAGGTCTTTACTGGTCAGGTAAACGGATTAGAGACCTGGAATGAAGATATGGTTGTTTAATGCTTTATATGGTCACTGTCTGGACAGGAAAACTGACGACTTGTTGCTAATTTCAAGCTAAGACTCTGAAAATAAAATATAAATTACATTGCTCAAGTAATGAATCTGTTAATTCTGCTGTCAGGCTGGCTGAAATATCATCTTTATATATGTGATTATCTCAGCACTTAAAATTTTTGTTTTCACTTTTTCTGGATTGGATTTGCTGTTCTTCCACTTGGACTGATCGATTTACTGTTTTGAGCCTGTCATTCCTTCTGAATGTATACGATCATAGTTTTACTCCTGTGGTTTATTTACTAAAGCTGTTCGGTAACTCCACTTTTAACATGGAGTTTTAGTTTTTCCTAGCCACATAGAGGATCACTATAAGCAAGAAAGGGGATGGTGTTTCTCTTTCTTACCTCATGGCATTCTTGTTTGTGCATCCTTCATGCCTATTAATAACCAGTTGTTATTCTTAGGGCAGTATTCTTTCTCCTGACACGTCTTGGCAGAAATGTATACAGTTATCCCCTTAAACATGCTACCATCCTATTTTGCAACTTTTGGGGATGGAGAGGTGGATATTAATAACCTAGGCCACAAGATAGATGTGAGGCCCAGTTGATACTGAAGTAAGTATTCAATGCATTTTACCTGTGTTATCTATTGAGGTTAATAGGGGGTAGATCAGCTAAATTCAGTTCCTCACACCAGAACATTTCCCTTCCTTTGTATTTACTGAAAGATGCTGTATTGTAGGCACAGGTTTTTGGGGCCTGACATGATACATTTGATTTCTTAGTTCCTGACTTTCCTCCGCCCCCTCAATACTTTGTAAGGAAGATTCAATATTGATTGAAGTCAGTGGAGAGGTTTGTCAGTCTGCTGCTTGATGCTGTGTTCCATACCTCAGTTCTTCTGAGGTTTTCATCCACTGTCCTGTGCAGTTGAAGTTCCTTCTTATCTGGGACATGAAGGTTTTTTTCCCCCTTTTTCAGGTCTGTTAGGATCCGGTTTCTTTTCCTGGGCCCAATACCTGGAAAAGTTGACAATTCAGTTACTTTGCCCCTTTTCTTATTCCATTTGTTAGATCTGAACTTAACAAAGGCTGCACTTTTGCGTCCAATTTTTAAGTTGTTATAAACAATACCAAATAGTTCATGTCATTCCTGGCTTCTTAATAGTCTGGATAGACTGCAGCAGAAATCAAGTAGGGAATTTATTTTTTTTACTAACAAACTAAACTGCTCTGTTTGGATCCACTGTTCCTGAGAATCCCCCTTCTTCTGAACTTGGGTTGGGTTGGAAAGGGCAGAGTTTGCTGATTTTTCTGGGTTATCTTCTCATTTTCACCAGGGCAGTCTTTTCAGAGGAGCTCTGGGAGGGGGAAAGCAGCGTTCAGTGGCACTTAAAGCACTAATTGCCTTATGGCTATATTTTGCCTGATGTGTTGTGGGTGGGAAATCCATTATCATTCCAAGCTGGTTGGTTCAAGGCACAGAAACCCTATTGTCAGGTAAGACATTGACCCATTAGTAAAATATTTTGTAATAGTAACAACCAGTTTGTACTGTTCAGTTAGGTCTGGCTAAATGAGAGTGACTCGGAGGCAAAGCTAGCAACACTAGACTTTGTTAGTCAATGTCCTTGGTTCACCTTGTGGCTCTGTTCTCATTTTTTCTAGGTATTGGGTATTACTTAATCAGTAAAGACCTTCAAATGGGCCACATCTAGCCGGTTACAGGCAGTTAGAATGTGTACTAAATTCATTTCAGTCTGAAACTCACACTGTGTATAAGAGTGAGCTCTTATTCTAGGAAGGCAGTGTTCTGTAGAACAGTGTAAAGTGCACTTTGAGGTGATTGCATATTGTTTCCCCAATGGTTACTTTTATTCTGGCTAACTGCTTTCTGAATGGTTTGTATTCCTCCAGCTGTGGCTCCCCTATTCAGGTTTCAGAGGTGAAGCTGCTCTCCTTTTCATCGGGACAGTTAACTGTGTTCCTCCCAGCAGAGGTGAAGTCTATAGGGACAGAGACCGATCATGTGCTGCCTTTGCAAGAGCTAGCCATGAGGACACTCTATAACACCTACTACAGGTTTTTAAAAGGTAATTTAATTGTCTATTCATATCCTTCAGAGCTTGACAAGACCCAGCAAATGAATGGTCTTTTCAGAGGTGACAGTAGCATTTATAGAGCTCTTCAAAGTGCTTTGCAAACATCAATGTTTTAAAATGTCTATTCCAGCAAATTACATTTAAGTGACCAACAAAAATTCTTTGGCCCAAAAGACATTGCTAAACATTGGGCTCCAAAGGTAAAGTGGTGGTTAGAATTTTGGGGGGGGGGGGAAGAGAACAATGTAAAAGGATGCAGGCTTTTCACAGTCTGCAGTGGAGAAGAAACTGACTTTAATGGGACAGGAGAGGAAGAAATTATTATTCCCGAGGCAAGATTAGATGCATTGTCCAACAATGCAACTCCTTGCCAGGCAGCACGCTCCTAAACTGGCAGACTTGTTATACATAAGGCAGAAGAAATGTTAGCAGCCGTTGGCCATTTCAGTACAGCATGACAGCTGAGCTGCTTTAGTTCTGCTCCAGTTCACGCTCTTTGTTGAAAGATGGCCCATGGCTCCTCTGGTTATGTATCATACTACCACATGAGATACCAATATTTGAGAGTAATTTGGGGGTTCAGGCTTTGTTAGATTTTGGAATGTTGTGGATCTGTCATATTCCATGCTTTGAGAATTTGTGAACCATGGAAGGAGATGTATGTAAAAAGGCTAATCAGGGAAAGCTTGGACTGGAATTATTGTTGTGAATCATAACCACTAAAGTAGTTCCTTTTGCCAAGAAAAAGTGTACAGTGAAGAGCTGACATTCTGCTGCTTGGACTTCTCTCTGCCCCAAACATTATTTATTTATTTAGGCCAATGATGGATGTCACATGTTAAGAGTGGGCCAAACACAGGAAACTATATTAGAGGAAACAATTCTGCACTGCTGGGGGAATGAATTAATGACCTGTTAGAGGTTGTGTGTTTCTGATTTCTGTTACTTAGGGGAAAAACAGGGAGGAGTTCAAATACCAAGATTATAACGGTACAATGCTCATAGAGCACAAGGTGCAATTTTCTGTGTGCATGCATGAATTTCTAATCTTTTTTGGAAGACAGGCTGGGGATTTGGGACAAAAAGGATTATTCACTTCTCTCCTCTGGAAAGCAGAATTCAGATCTTTAAATTACAGATGACTGTAATTTTATCTATGTAACAACCACCATACAGTGTGGCAAGATTGTCACAAGCAAGGTTTAAGTTTAGAAAGGCCAGGGTAGTGTTGCACAATCAATGTGAAGTGTAGTTGGCAGGGTGCAGGAAAACTTGTGCAAGGCTGCAGGCATTATGTCTTTGGCCAGTGCTTGAGAGATGAGGAGTCACCTATTTTAAGTATCTTCCCTATCCTCAAATTTCTGCACTACAGTTTATTTTGTATCTTTCTAGTCTGGTCATAATAACCATCATTAAAGGCAATGAGCAACACCTTGGGTGACAGTCAAAATCTGGTTGAGACTGGGGCATGGTCATGGGCGAACTATTAAAGGTCAATCCAGACAGGGATTAGATGGGTTGTGGGAAGGAGATGGAGGATGCGGCAGAGGTAATATCACCCTCTTTGGTCCACTATTGGTTGCTTGTGTTTGCAATTTCAAGGGTGGTGTTAGAACCTCAGCTAGTGTTACAAAATCGTATTACAGCAGTGACCAGGCTGGCTTTCCTCGATCTTTGCCTGGTCAGCAAGTTGTGACCTCTTCTGTTAGATGCAGACCATTCTTCTGTTATCCATGCCTTTGTCACCTCAAAATTAGACTACTGGATTGCACTGTATGTGGGGCTACACTTTACATTTATTTAGAAACTGAGTCCGGTGCAAATTCTAGAAGTCTGTTTATTAAATTCTGCCCCTCATCTTGCTCAGTTAACACCCTCTACTAGTGTGCAGCACTGGCTGCCTCTTTGTTTTCTGTTGGAGTTTCGGATGTTGGCTTTGACTTGTGAAAGTCCTAAGTGGCCTGGGGCCTGCCCAACTGAGAAATCACATTTCCCACAGCTGTGGCAAATGGGGGCACTGGAGCTGGAGCCGAGGCCTCTTGGGTATAGAAGAGCGAGATCTGTTGATCTGTGGGGCATACTAATAAGGCCATGTATTTGCTGGGCCTTTTGGAGGTGGCTGTGGTTATGGCTTTGGTTATCGTTGGCAATTTTGAATTGCTGGATGATTAATTGTTTGGGGTTTGTATAAACTGTGCTGTGCTGTGGGATGGTTATTTATTGAATTATATAAATAAAATGATACCAACTTCCTTCCTAGAATCTTGTATTGTTGACTATTGAATAGCCACTGATTAGGACAGAGAACCTCACTTCGGTTAATAGATCTAATTTAATGACGCACACTTATCTAAATCCTCCAAATTTTAATTCTAAGTTTTGCTTGAGTCAGCCAATGCCTCTGTTTAGAAATGTTTTACTGCTTGTAGCATTTGCTGTTTTTTTGTATTTGCTTGAGCAACAGCACCTTCACCTAGCTGTTTGGGTCTGATTAATCCTATGCCTGCAGTTTTTTGTTAACTTCCCTTACTTATTTACATTGCAAGTGCCATTATGGGCTTCATCTTATTTGCAAATAATTTGCTTAAGTTTACTATTCCTTTGACATGGCCAGATGTTACTGAGAGGATTAGTGAGATATTTAGTACACTAAGGGGTCATGGAACAGGTTTACTATGTTGAACCTTATCATGAATTTGTTTTGTTACAATCCTGGTTCTTAACTTATGTTTCTTTTCTTCTCTAGATTTCAGCTTCCTAACTCCAATCTCATTACCCAAAAGTCTCTTGGAATTACTGCACTGCCCTCTGGGACACTGTCACCGTTGCAGCCAGCCCATGTTTACCATTGTCTACCCAAAGCTCTTTCCCTTGAGGGAGACTCCAATGGCGGGCCTGCACCAGGGGTAATTACAGAAAATTAGACTGGGGTTTCAGACCTTCCACAGGGGCTCCTGTTGGGAAGAAAAACATCTTTATGGAACTTGAGGAATTTTTTTTAGCTTGGCAGCCTTAATGGGGTAAAGTCTTTTTTTCTGAGATCTCTTATCAAAGGGGACCGTCATATTTATTTCTGTCATTTCCCACCAGCATTTTATTGTGCATGTACTAACAAGGGCAACAGTAGTCACCATGATACTTGCTGATGGTACTCAGGGTTGTGAGGCACCTTCCTATTATGTGCCCTTAGCGTGATGAAGCCTTGTCTGTGCCTGCTATGTATCAGCTCCATGGGCAACACAAGCACTTCCCTCTAGGCTTCACAGGCCCTGCTGTCACCTTATGTTAGCAGTTGGCACACCCCAGCCCATAAGCCCTCCAAGCACCTCCCTGGAGTGTCCAGTCTGTTCCAGTGGACACTCATGATATTCTCAGATTTGTTGCTTCAGAAGAAACAGTACACCCCAGCTTAACAGTTCCACCTCCAATCACTTGTCCGCTTAACGTACAGCACTTAGATATGTTTATAGTAAAGTCAAGTATAAGTTTATTTAACAAAACATAATATCCAAGTAGTAGCAGGTAGAAGTATTGGGAAAAAATGATTACGTATAAAATAATATCATAACATACATTCTAGAGCCTAGACTTCATTAACAAGATACTCTCATGTCTAACCAATATTGCTCTCCCCGAATCCTTGCATCACTTTTCAGCCAGCTGGCTTGACCCTTTTTTTCATGAGACAAGAATGCTGTCAGCTGGCCTTTTTGGTGAAGGACCCAGAGTGTCACTTTGTACTCCAAGATATACCAGAGCAATTTTTTGTTTATCCATACACAGGACACCCCCCTCACACACACACACACACACTTGTTTTCTTAATCCTGTAGATTCCTCTGCTGTAGATTTTGAAATCTCTTCTTTTGTCTGTGGCTCAGTATGCAAACAGGCCTCCATTATGAGGCATCCCAATACACAAATGGCCAGATATGGAGATAGGTGTCTGTTACCTTCTGCCTGAAAGGACCACTTCTGAGGTATGTCATCTCTGGTGAACTATTATGCAAATATCTGACCTGGGGATCCATCTGAAATCCTGTGCCGTCTGCCAGTTAGCACCAAGGCGTCCCTGGTTCATACCTTCTCCCTTACATTGATGCCGTAGAGTTAGCTCCTGCCCAGTTGCCTGGGCAGTGTATGTGCCACCACATTTTCCTTTCCCTTCATATGTACCATTTCCATGTCATATGCTTGGAGCGTTCTCGAATGCAGAGTCTGGAGTTGGTACCTTTTGTTCTGTGAAACCATGCCAATGGACTGTGGTCTGTTAGGACTCTGGACTTCCTGTGGAATAGGTAAGGCCTTAGCTGCCTGACCGCCCACACAATTGCATAACATTCTCTTTCTGTGACAGAAAATTTTCTTCAGTGTGGAGAAGGGGATCACTTTTTTTTACTTGAGTTATAGGATGCTTTTTATTGCCTTGGCCCGCTTGCATTAACACCGCTCCCAGGCCTGTATTGGATGCATCTGTGCAGAGTTCAGCCATCTTATCAAAGCTAGTACTGGCTTGAACCAGTTTCTCTAATGGAATTCTTTTCACTTTATCAAAGCCTTCTTGACAGGCTGCAGTCTCTTTTTGCAGAGGTCTGTAATTGCAGACAGAATGTTACTGAAACCTTCCACAAGCCAGCATTAATAATTTGCCAAACCTCTAAAAGACTGAACTTGCTTTTTGGTTCAAGGTACAGGCCAGTTAACAATGGACTCCACTTTTAAAGGATCCAGACAAATCTGTCCCTCTTCTGTCCAATAGCCTAAGTAAAGGACTTTTGGCCTCCCCATCTTACGTTTTGTCATTTTTACTGTAAGACCAGCATCTTTGCGTCTCTTCAGCACAATTCCCACATCATCCTTATAATCTTGCCAGGAATGGCTGAATATTACAATATCATTTATGGAGGCATGAGCAAAGCCCTATAACCTGGCCAACACTTGATTAACGAGCCTCTGAAATGTGACTTCTGCATTAATTAACTTAAAAGGTAACACTTTAAACTGAAAAAGTTCTGAATTGGTTATGAAGGTGAATTTTTTTTTCCCTGTACTTCAATGTCTAAGGGGATTTGCCTTTTGTTAAATCCAGGGTGCTTGGTAATTTTGTCCTGCCTAAAATGTCTAGCATATCATTGATTCTGGGCATAGGGTAGGCACCAGGAACTTGTGACAGCATAAAGCTTTTTTGGGGACCGTAACAACTGGAGAAGCCTAGGGACTATTATTTGACTCTGTAACTATTCCCATGTCTAGCATGCTTGCTTCCTCCTTGCAAATTTGCTCCTGCATTTTGCCAGTTGTCTTGTATGCTCTGCTGGACACTGGCTTTGGTCCGACAGTGTTAATCTTATGGACCATTTTGTGAGTCAGGCCTGGCCTGCTGGAAAATACCTGTCAGTGACTTTGCAGCATGGCCACATTTGCCTTTTCAGTTAAGTTTAACCCTTCATATAAATCAGTGCCCTCTAGTTGGGTATCGCTGTGGCATTCAATCACCAAATCAATAAGAGGGGCTGTCTCGCAGTCCTAAACTGCACAGCAAATCTTGTTTACAATGGCTTCACGATTGTAGTATACTTTTAACCTGTTGATTTGCACAGTTGGAGGTGTAACCCTGCTGTGGGGCCTTGGTATATTGCAGGTAACATTAACTCTTTCTGCCACCTCATAAGCCTCTTCCCATGAATTGTGCATTTTGTGCTTATTTATAGGAAGTAACACCAGAACCAATCACCCACATCAAATGATCAATCACAGGTATTGAGATCATACCATTCTTTGTGAGCTGCCTGGCCTTTGAGCAGTAAAACCTCACTAATCCCCATCAGGGATTTTAAATCCTTCCTGAACCTCTGCACGTGTTCACTAGTCCCTGCCACTGCCTCAGTGCCACCCCCCCAGGAATCTCTAAGAAGATCCAGGGGACCTCTGATCTGTCTGTCATACAGAAGGTCAAATGGGGCAAACCCTGTGGACTCTTGGGGCACCTCCTGCTAAGCAAATAGCAGACTAACCTTACATCCCAGTAACTTGTCCCCTTGTTTCATACATTCTCAGCATAGATTTTTAGGGCCCCATTGAATCTTTAAACAAACCATTTGTTTCCAGTACTTCTGCTTGTACTACTTGAATTTTTGTGTTAAATACAGTTATACTTGATTTCACTGTAAACTTATCTAAGTGCTGTATGTTACGTGGAGCCGTGATCTGAGGTGAAACTGTTAAGCTGTGGTTTATTGGTTTTTTGGAAGCAGTGAATCTGTGAATGCTGTGAGTGTCCAGTGGACCAGCAGTTGGATACTCCAAGGGAATGCGCAGAAGGCTTGTGGGCTGGGGTGTGCCAGTTGCTAACCTGTAGATTGACAGCAGGGCCTGCAAGTCCTAGAGAGCAGTGCTTGTGTAGCCTATGGCCAGTGGAGTTGGGGAGCTGATCCCCAGGAGGCACAGACAAGGCTTTCTCATGCAGAGGCCAGGTAGTTTGAGGTGCCTCACAACCCTCCCGGCAAGCATCAGAGTCACCCAGTATAGATTGTTCTTAATCTAAACTTATCTTATTTATGCATTTATTTACAATAGATTAATTTCCATAAACCTGGAACAGCCTCGAGGTGGCAATGACTATTGAACAGCTAATGGCTCTGATGTTGTGGGACTCAACTATTCCTAACAGAACAGCACGTGGGTGATCAGGAAATCCATTGGGAGGGTTTTCTGAGTCAGGGAAGAACTATTACCAAACAGCAATCCTTCACCTGGTGACTTCACCCCTGTATCTGAGGCAAATGCAAGCACCAAATAAAATGCCACAAGGCATATTGGTTTCTTTTGCTAAAGGCAAAAATGAAAGCCAGTGGTGGGGGCATTGCAGCCATTATCAGAGTATATTTTAAATAATCTGCAACTAAAATGCTCTTCTTCAATATGAGCAAATCAGGGGTGTGCAGTGGAAGGGTGCTGTGCTGAAGAAGATGGTTGCTAGTGAAATGCAATTACAAACAGTTCAGTTTCTATGGTCACAGAAAATGTGAACATGCCTGCAAGGCTGTCTAGTGAAGCAGCCAAACCTACACAGTTGTGTTCGCTTGCCTGGTAGCATAATCAAACAAGAGTTTAAAACTAGGGAGTATTGTTCCTCAGGCCCGTAGAAAGTTGGCATAACTTAATGCTGAACACTGGTCATTTTGTAGTGCTTTTCCAGTACCACCTATTAGCCTGAGCTGGGGTTGGTGCCGAATACATGGGCAGGTGGGATACAGGTTTTAGTGAGAGGTGAGTGAAACAGTCTATCCTCACAGACCTAACTTTGTTTAAAATTTTAGTTGTACGGAGAAAGGTAATTCTGTTTCACTGAGGCTTTATGAGGAAACTGAGGCAGGTGGGGAGTGTGTTCATTTTCAGCCTCCAGTTAGTCATGCTGGTCAATTAATGGACCCATAATTATCAACCAGAGAAAAGTTTAGTATCTTGCCAAGAAGGGAGGTGTAGCAATATCATACCTGGAAGCCTGCCTTCTGCCTGGTGTCAAGGGGTGTTTTCAGTCAGTGAGGAGAATCAGCAGCAACATCCTAGCTTGAACCTCTCTTGAGCCTGCTCCATGGTTTGTTTTGACTTGAGTTTCTTCCCTTCTTTGTGTCTGAGAGGAGGTTCCACCATAGAAAAGACCCTGTGGCTGTGCACCTGGTTAGTGTTAAAGCACAGAATAAACAGGTGGTGCTCCGTCCTTCCCATCTCAGGTGGGAATGTCTCTTGCCCAGGTGACAGTGCCATGTTTATAGGGGCAGTGGGGAGAAATGTGTAGGAATTTTTCTCCATAAACCAGAGCTAATAGCTGAACCATGAGGACATAGACACATACATAACAGGAACATGAGAACTACTCACAATGTAGTTCAGTATTTTCAGAAATCTAGTTTGCTATCAACAAATAAAGTCATATTTTGTTGGACAAACAAACCCGACAGCTAGGTTCTCCTGAGAAAAGTTGTTAAACAATTCCTTAGACAGCCTCTTCTTAAACATGGAAAAGAAAAGTTAAGCATTTATAGATGTCTTTACTGAGAATGATATTTAAGCCCCATACATACCAGTAATACTAAACTCAGTTCTTGCACTGTTGAAAATCTTTTAATTTGCCAGTAATTCTTCTGTAGCAGCAAAAGAAAAAAAAAGTTATATCAGTAAGAAAACTTTAAAAAAGAAAATAAAAAAATCTGATTGCTGATTCAAGCAGATGGTATAATTTTTCTCAAGTTATATGGCAGCCTCTTGTGCTGAGAGTTTGTAGCATAATGCTGCTCTGATTTATGAGCAATACAGCTTTATGAAGTGAAAACAACTTGTGCATCTTAAATTTGGACAGCAGCCAGGAAGCACCATAACTGCTATTTTAGAAAATCCATCTCCTTTCTTAGAAAGCTCTTCTGATTGTAAAGACAGTTATCTTCAACTTGCTGTTCTGTTGAAATTTTGACTGTCAGATGATTAAACTCCACCAGCACAAGAGGTTATAACAAGACATAATGGGATGAAATTAAGAAAAAAATATTCAAGCTGTCAGGAAATTTTTCCAGGAAGCAAAATGGATTAGTGTGTGTTGTGTAGTTTCCTAAGCAAATGATGGACATTTCTTTTTTGGGACATCCAAACTAGAGTGGACAAACCGCTGAGCTTTATATTGTATGTAATGATCCTACAGCGGCAGCAGATGGCTAGATTCCTAAAGAGATGGAAGAGACCTACTTTTTATAGTTGCCACAAAACTATGGTTAAGAGTCAATGAACACCTCCAACACAAACCCTTATTTTCCAGGGATTATTAAAATTCTTACTGTGCTGAAACTTGCCAGGCAGACTCTATTCCAGGAAGAAATTATTGTTGCAAATGTTAAAAACAATACCATATTTTTCCACCAAATTAAGTTTTGCTATGATTCAGTGTACTAATCCCTTATGTTGCCATGCTGAGACTCTAAAATACCTGTTTCATTTAAAATATACATTACTGCCCATTTTTCACTTTTTAGCTAAAATCTCCAAGTATTTTAGCATATGCACTTACCATGAACACCCATCACCTTCCTGGGTCCAGAATGGATTGTCATAGAATATCCAATCGCATAACTTTCAGCTGCTGTAGAATTGTGATGCAAATCCACAGACATTGAGACTTAAGGATGGTCTGGTATTCTTATCTTTGCAGTACACATGCTTGGCATGGTAATACTATTATTTATGTAATGCCAATACTGTGGTTAGGTACTTTAGAGAGAGATAGGAAGACAGGATCCTTATCCTAAAGAGCTTACCATGTCCATGTACAAATAGAACCATAGGGTGGAGAAGCTGGGTGTTTGAACAGTTTAGCATATCACCTTAGTTCCACAATTTTTGTTTGGATTGTCTATATCATTTTCCTCTGTTGGGAAGACTAACGTTTATTTGCCTCTACCATAAAATGTATTGGGGGGTTGGGGAAGAGACTGCTGAGAAAACGTGGACTGGGCTTTCCAAGTGTAAGGGGCTGTGTAATTCTGTTTCCCTACAATAACATGGGCAAATAACATGTTGCATCTGATGAAGTGAGCTGGAGCTCACGAAAGCTTATGCTCAAATAAATTGGTTAGTCTCTAAGGTGCCACAAGTACTCCTTTTCTTTATGGGCAAAGTGTGAGTCTTGGTTTTGTGGATTAAAAATCAGACTTCACTGTTACCTAAGCAAGAGGCCAGGTCATTAGTGAAGTTATGGGGGGGGGGGAGAGTTTCAGTTGAAGGAAGTGAAATTGCCCCTTTATGTGGATTTTTAAAGTGTATGGCACTTAGCCCAATACAACAGCAAAGCCCATTGATCATCCCCTTTGGAGTTCTGATCTCCACTTTTTTCTTTTTGGTTTCTTGTTGACTCACTCAAACCGACTGTTAGCTGTCAGAATTCAGTTATTTCATGCTTCCAAGCAGTAATTTAAACATATGAGAGAAACTGAATCAAAGGGTTCTCCAGATATTTCCCCCTTAGCCATTAAACCTACTGGCAGTAACACTCAGCAAAACACTATGCAGAAAGAAAACCTCTTGCTGTTTTCACAAACCAAAATTAAAAATCTTCTGTTTAGAAAATTGACCAGGGCTTATCCTTTATTTTTACAGTCCACAAAATTGTCTGTTGTGAAAGGCGGCCAGTTACTTTAATCCTGAACTGACAACTGTTTTTTCTTTCCTCTCTTTTTTTTCCAGGCGGAGATCTGTTAGTTTTGTGGCATACTGCTGCTCCACCCAGTGTCTGCAGACTTTTGACCTACTGAGTTGATAAACACTTAAAGCTACTCAGGAGTGTTGCCAGCTTAAAGCTGCATTAGACTGAGTATCTCGTTGGTACTGGAATACTGTATGTTTGTGTACATGTGTGCATACTCCAAAATAGCAGAAATGCTCAGCCAGAAACGCTAAGGGGCACGTAAATCCTGCCCTGTCATTTTGAGTGAGCTGCGAAAACTTTTTGGAAATGTAATGATCAAGCTTTTACAAGTATTAACACTTTTGCTCTCTTCTAAGACAACATATAAATCAAACTAATTCAAGGGGCTTAGTCTCAAGTATTTTTTGTTCATGTTTTTCACATGTGGAGCTACTTAGGTTGATACTTTGTGTCATTTAAAGGTGTTTTAGTTCTTGACCAGTGTTAGGTTTTTTAAATTATGTGTCCATCTATCTCCAGTATGGCAGCCCAGTTTTCTCTTGTTACTTGTAATTTTCTCCCACTACCAGCAGGATTCGGGGTATACAGGCACGCAAGGATGGCAGCCATTTAAGGATCCCAGTTACATTTGTGTGCCATTTTCTCTTCCCTGCCCCCACTCCCCTCAATAGTTTCCCCATCAAAGAGCTCTTATGGCAGTAGATTGAGCCTTTGCATCTGACTGAGGTGTTCAAATCCACCTACTAGAAGCAGTACCTTCCTTCCAGACATCACTGCAGGACACAGCCTCTGCTGGAGGATTGGGGGTTAATAGGGAGAACTCGGCCTGCTTTTGACGTGAAGGCCTGCATGGAGCTGCTCCCTCAGGTCCTAGGAGATCAGTATCTTTGTTTGTAACACTGATTTATTTTTGAAATAGCTCTCATCTTGCATGAAAAAATCTGCGGGATACATACATATTTATCTATATTTATTTTCTGTCTGCTGACAAAAATCCTGGAGTAGTCTGAGAGGTGAACAATGAGTCCTGTAATCTTGCTGAGAGCTGGCCCCTGTATCTCTGAGTTCAAGGTTTGACTGATTTCCAAACCAGCTTGTCAAGCATCTTAACATCAGAGGAGTATTAGAAAAACATACACGCATACGCAAATATATTTACAAAAGGTCTGTAACATGCTTTGTAGCATGTTTGTGGCAAGTGTAACTCAAAACCCTAATTATTACTATCTTGGTGGGGGGTCATTTGTTGTTGGAATATTTTCTTTACAACTACAGTACAAAGGGCAGAAGTAGGCCCAAAATGTCTGTGATTTATATTTTTAATTTTAAACTAAAACAGTACAAAAGGTGGTCATTTGGGTCTGTTCTGCAATATATTTTTATTAATACATTCTGTTCATGATTAGTTTAGTTTTTAACTATAACTTACTTGGGGACTTAACACAATGTTCTTCGTTATAAGTAGTTACATGCTGAAATAGATCTGAATGGAACAATTTGATGATATAAAAATGGCAAGATAAAGAGACTGACTTACTTGGTAACGTATTAATATACGCAGTGGTGAGGAAAATGTATACCTGGAAAGAGTGGCGTTTTAAAATGCTGCACTGTTGCCAAAACAAGCATCTGTTTCTGCTGTGGGTTTACTGTGTACTGTTCAAATGAATGGAGCGTCCTAAGTATTTCAAACATCACTAGAAGGGCAATTTTTGAGGGCAGGATTTGTAGGTAGGTTGTACCCATTACTTATAACAAGGTGCACGGGTTCTCTTGGGCTGGTTTTATGGAGTTGAAGTAGCTGCCACAAATTGGAAGATTTATGCTTTAAGGAATGCAAATATCACCCGCAGTCCCTGATAAATGGAACTTTCTATAATAAAGCCCTTTTGACAGATCTATGTTCCAGTGGGAAATGAGCCCATGTCCAAACATCCTCTATGCTGTTGGATTTCTTCTCCTCTGTCCTTTCATTAGTTTGTCTTGTAAATCCCAATTCTAGGATTTCAAACATATTGTCTCAGTCATTGGGGATCAGTACAAAGACAGCCAAGTGGGTGTTGAGCTTGTTTTCCATTCTGTTGGACAATACAAGTTTGAGTTGTAAGTTGCCAAGTTCAGAGTATCCTTAAGTCAGAAAATCATAGTGTGAAAATTCAGAAGAGTAGCACAGATTTCTGTGTTTAATGGCTGGCACTGTATATATGTTGACATATTGCACTATTTAATTTGCCACACAATGGTGTGTCAGGTATTATATAGCTTTAAAATAGATCTAAAATGTATCAACACAGGCATAAAAAAAATTCCTTTGTGTAAGGGAATGCATGCGACATGCTCATTCGAAATTCAGAACAACTGATTCCCAGGCACTTGCTTTCCCTAAAGTACTAGTGGACTGAAAGACAACACTGACAAATGTTTTGACGATACAACCACTGTGGAATTGGAAATTATTATTACTGGTTCCATGCTTTAATAGATCAGGAAAAGAAATGATTGATTTTCATTTCTTACATTTTCATTTATACTGCAGATTTTATATTGAGTTGACTGGTTGGTTTTTGTTTTCTCAATGTTAAAAGCACGTAGACTTGGAAGTACTTTTTTATTTTAAGCAAAAATCAACTATAGAAAAGTTTAGCTAAAAGATAGCATTGTTCTGGTTTAGTGTGGATCACATGATAGAGCTTATTATTGTTTCCATAACTTACTGAAAGGTGTGAATTACAAAGTGTTTTATTCAGTTCATCAGTCTCTTTATTGTTAGCAAGTGCAGTCCAGCATAATACAAGCATACTCCATAAGAAGCTGAAGCTTCACCTAACATTTTATAAAGTGATACTACAAGGATTCCAGTCTTCAGTGAATAAAATGTATTTATTTTGTGTAGCCAAAATGTGACAGTATAAGTTTTTTTCCTTTTATTAGTAATACTGGAAGAAAGTCACAATTATGGACTGGAAAAATAGCTTACATTCATGTTTATCTGATCACTACTGATATAGCCTCTTTTTACATTTAGCTACATTTGGGTAGTGAGTCCATAGTTTAAAATAATTTAACATCTGTGCTTTGTCCAATTTTTTTCTGAGTTTGGTGTCTGTCTTCAGTGTTGTTTCAAACTGGCCAATGTGAAGAAGAAACGATGCAAACTCAGAGGGCACAGTTATATTGCTGGTTGGATAATGGGCCACCAATTTTACAATAGAAATTCCCACTTCTGTGGGATCTCTCTCAAATGCCATGGGTTTTCTAGCTCAGCTTCAATTGCATGGTGTTCCCAGTCTAGATTGGGTTGTGCGGAGGTTACCCACCCCTTGATCTTTACACAACCTGGTTCTATCAGTAGTTGTCCCCAATATAATTCCTTTATTATTGTTTCTAAGGATATGTGAATGGTGTCTTAAAATAAAAATAAGACCTCATCTCGTCATTCAAGGAACAAAATCATTTTTGCTTCGTTGTATTTTGTAGTATTTTCCCTTTTCTGTGGGTTTTTTGTCTGTCAGGATGACTAGTCAAATATGTGAATACATTCAAAAAAGCGTGGAAGAATATTTGTTCAGCTAATACTACTTTAAAAGTGGTCATTTCTGATGTGAAATGTAGAATACATGAAGTTAACATGGGGAGTATCAGAATATAAACAAAGATCACATCTAGCTTAGCTCACATGAAGTGCCACGGTTAATCTTGCAAGCCTGCAGATGTTGGCTGCTGGTCTTTTAGTAAAGCCAGTTCTTTGTCCAATCACTGAGCTAGTGGGGGATCCATTGCTTTTAATAAAGCATTCCAGTTACTTCTTTGCAGTACAGTATGCCTTCACCATTTGGGCAGTTTTGTACTGGATGATGTGTGTGCTTGCAACCCTTTACGCTGGGCCCTGCATTCCTGATCATCTCTGCCATAGATGATCAGAATGTAAATAAACTTTATGGAGGAAAAAGGAATAAATACGAATATCAAGCAAGTATTGAATACGACTTACTATGAGTCTGATACTGATCTCATTGAATTTAATGGCAAAATTTCCACTAACTTCAGTGTGAGGAATATCAGGCCTTAACAGAGAAGACCTGTTCTTTTGTACCAAGCTGGCTTCAGATCTTGCATATCTAACGCTGCTGAATCTCGTTGTCTAGTATT